AATAAACTGAAGAAGACCTACATATTATTTTAAAAATATTGAAGACAACAATACATGGCGCAGTCGGTAGGATTTTCAAAGATTGAAAACGTGCCGGTCACCGGTTAGTATAAAACACGAGCCTGCATTACTATACTTAACACATAATGTCAGAGGATGAAAAAGGCGTTGTGACGTGTGCGGTGGAATATAAAATGCCGAAAGGTTTAAATCTGGACACCATCGACAACTGTTATACACAATGGCAGAGATTCAAACAGAGTTTCAGGACGTTCATCATGGCAGCCGGTGTAGAAAAATTTTCTGAAACTCGGAAAGCGGCAATATTGCTAAATTGCATCGGGCAACAGGCTCAGGAGCTTTATTTCAATGTGCTAAAAATCGACGAAAAGGCAAAATTAGAAGATGTACTAGATGTCTTTGAAAATTATTTTAAGCCAAAGCAGAATGATGTAATTAATACATATAACTTTAACAAGAGAACACAAGAAGAGGGTGAATCCTTTGATGCATTCTATACAGCAATCAGGAAGATGGCAGAAAACTGCAACTTTGGAGACAAGAATGAGCGCATGATACGGGACAGGATAGTCATCGGTGTCAAGGAGCAACGGATGCAACAAAAACTTCTCGAAGTAAAAGACTTGACGATGAACAAGGCAGTAGACATATGTAGATCTGCGGAGCTGTCCAAGGAACATTTGAAGACACTGGCTAAGTCGGAAGTTCATGCGGTGCAGGAATCAAAGTCATCTCGGCAACACACATCATTTGAAAATAGAGCTAAGTATTTCAATAATAATTATAAAGATAGCAAATTTAATATTGATAAGAATAGATCATTTAACAGTAAAAATAATGAAGGCAAAGTCAGTTTCAATAAATATTTTTATAAGTGTAAAAAATGTAATACTGAACATGGTCAGAGACAATGTCCTGCATATGGGAAAAAGTGCACTAAATGTAATAAAATGAATCATTTCAGTGTAGGTTGCTATCTTACAAATGAAAATAAAAAAGTTCATAATATTAATGAACCTTGTCAGAATAGTGTGCATGACTTATGACTAGTTAGCACTATAGATATTAAGAATAATGAGTGGATAGAAAAACTAAGAGTTGAAAATAAAAGAGTGACATTCAAATGTGACACAGGTGCACAGATTAATGTTATTAGTTTACAAGATTTGAAACAATTAGTCGATGATGAGAATAATATCAGTTTAACTGAGACTATAACTATAATAGAGGTCTTTGGAGGTGGCAAGTCATTTCCTTTAGGGAAAATAACATTAAAAGTTTATAATAATAATATTAATGATGATGAGTATGTAAAACTTGAATTTGTAATAATAAAAGAGCAGGTGAGACCTATTTTAGGTTTAAAGTCACTATTAGAGCTGAAGTTGTTAAATAATAATAATATTAATGTGATTCAAACTAAGAATGAATGTAATAATACTAAGGAAAACATTATTAATAAGAATAAAAAACTTTTTCAGGGCGTGGGTGAATTTAAGAGTGCTCTGCAGTTGCGCATTCAACCGGGTGTGCAGCCTGTAGTGAGGCCACCACGGAGAGTGCCTAATGCACTTATGAAGCGCCTCGCTGACAAGTTGGAGGCTCTGGTGAAGCACAAAGTCATTGCGAGAGTGAAGCACCCAAAAAGTTTTGTAAGCAATTTGGTTATTATTGAAAAGAAAGATGGTTCATTAAGAATTTGCTTAGATCCTAAAGATCTTAATAAAGTATTAATAAGAGAGCATCATTTGATACCAACAATAGATGAAATTGTGTCTAAGTTGTGCAATAAAAAATGTTTCTCAGTATTAGATTTATCCGATGCATTTTATAATATTAAGCTCAGTGAGGATTCAAATGATCTTTGTACTTTCAATAGCCCTTATGGCTGTTTTAAATTTTTGAGAATGCCATTTGGTTTGTCAGTAGCGCCTGAAATATTTCAAAGGTATAGTGAAATGGCCTTTGGTGATATACCAGGTGTAATTGTCTATTGTGATGATTTGTTAATAAGTAGTGACTCGGAGCAAGAGCATGATGCAATATTAAGAAAAGTTTTTGAAAGAGCATTAGAACATAACGTGAGATTTAATGAGAAAAAAATTCAATATAAATTAAAAGAAGTAAAATACTTTGGTCACCTGTTTTCTGAAAAAGGCATGAAAATTGACCCAGATAGTTTAAATGCAATATTAAATATGAAAAGTCCAACTAATAAAAAACAATTACAAATTTTTCTTGGAATGGTCAGTTATTTAAGAAAGTTTATTCCTAATATGGCCTCACCGTTACATTTATTGCTTAAAAAGGATGTGGAGTGGCTGTGGACAGAAGTTCATGAAAATGTTTATAATAATCTTAAGAAAAAAATTACTGAAGCTCCAATCTTACAGAATTTTAATAGTAAGTTACCGATTGTAGTACAATGTGACGCATCCAAGGATGGCATTGGTTGTTGTTTATTACAAAATAACAAACCAGTTAGCTTTGCATCTCGTAGTTTAACTCAGTCAGAGAAAAATTTCTCACAGATAGAAAAAGAATTATTAAGTGTGGTGTGGGCCACTAAAAAATTTCATTTTTATTTTTTTATTTATTAGGCCACCAACGGCGAGTACACTATTACAATGTATTTATAAACATATGAATTTTAAAGTTAAGCATCACGCCACTTAAAGGTAGGCACAGCATGGACCAACAAAAGTGCAATAACAATTTACAAAAAATAATGTGAACTTAAAAGTTATTTTAAGACTTACAAAAACTTACAAAACAAAAAGAAGCAAAATCAAATTGAAAAATAAACAAAAAACCCCTATAAGCTTACATTCCTTGTATCTAATACAATTCTCTTGATTCGAGGCACGGATGTAAAGTTAATATCTATTATATTGGCAAAAGGTTGAAATGCAGCAAATAATCGGGCTATTGAGTAATGCAATTTAAGGTTCGTGTGGCATTTAGGTCTACAGAAATATTCTCGCTTAGTACAAGACCTAGCGTTTAATCTAGGAACATTGAGGCCAATCCTGCTCAGCAACTCGGGGCAGTTCATGGTCCCAGTCATCAACTTGTGCAGAAAAATTATATCCAACATCCTCCTGCGACTCTCGAGAGAAGACAACCCAAAGTACTCAAGTCTTTTATTATATGATGTTAGTTCTTTGCACATCTTGTAACTGTAAGATAAGTGTCTTAGAAAACGTTTTTGGATTCTTTCAAGCCGATCAATATGATTCCAATAAGTGGGAGACCAGACAACACTGCAGTATTCCAGATGGCTTCTTACTAATGAGTTAAATAATATAATTTTGGTAAAAGCTTTTTTGAAGTGCTTAGACTCACGTATAACAAATCCAAGCATTTGTGAGGACTTTACAAAGACGAAATCCATATGCTCAATGAAATTTAACTTCCTATCCATGATAATTCCTAGGTCTCGAATATGCGTAACCTCGTTAAGTAAGTGATTATTCAACGAATATTGGGTGTTAATTATATGTTTGTTTCTGGTAAATTTTATATGGACACATTTTTTTACATTTAGAGCCATTTTATTTTGGACGCACCATCCACAGAGCCTATCGAGGTCTTCTTGAAGTAACATTGAGTCATTGATGCTATGGATTACTTTAGTGGCTTTAAGGTCGTCCGCAAACATAAATATACTAGAATGGTGAAAGCAATGGACGATGTCATTAATGAATAGTGTGAATAGATAGGGTCCTAGATGCGACCCTTGTGGTATTCCCGAGAATGCAGTGTACTGCTTGGAACATGAACCGTTTATGACTACTCTGAGTTTTCTATTATGAAGGTAAGATTTAAACCAACTCAGCAAAGGCCCCGAAATTCCAAAGAGCATTATTTTTTGAACTAAGATTGAATGATCTACCGTGTCGAAGGCCTTACTGAAGTCGGTGTAGATAGCGTCGACCTGTACTCTCTCGTCAACAGTAGTAACTAAAGAATCAACATAGGTAGTAAGGTTTGAGGCAGTAGATCTGCCCGCTAGAAAGCCATGCTGCGCAGTGCTTATTTTCGGAGAGATATGCCAGGATAAATGAGGACAGACAAGAGCCTCAAACACTTTCGCAGGTACTGATAAAATTGCTATTGGCCTGTAATTTTCGACATTACTCTCGTCCCCAGTTTTATATACAGGAACAATTTTTGTTTCTTTCCAAAAAGAGGGAAATTTGCCCGTCATCAAAGATCTTTTGAAGATCATAGTTAACGGAGACGCTAATTTGTCAGCGTTTTTGACATAAAATATGGGCGGTATATCATCCGGTCCTGCTCCCTTATTCATATCTAGGTGCGACAATGCTCTCTTGACTTGATCATGTGAAAATTCAATATTGTTTAAGTTGGTATTAATTATACTATCATCCAAAAGAACAGGGTGACTATCTTGTTTAAAATCAGGCTTGGTGTAGACACTGGAAAAGTGAGAAGCAAAGAGGCCACAAATATCATCGGGTTTATCAGAGCACAGAGAGCCGTATGACATAGTGCCAGGATAGTTACTAGTTCCACCTCTTTTAATTTTTATGTGACTCCAAAAGTACTTTGGATTAGTGGCTAGAATGGATTCCAGTCTGCTTGTATATGCATTATAACACATAGTTGCTAGTTTATCGCATCTCAATTTCAATAAATTAAGGCTTAGCTCATCCATAGCGTTCTTGTACTTTTTGAAACGAATTCTTACTCGATTTTTTTCATTTAGGCTTCTAATTAGTGCGTGAGAGAACCAATAAGGGTAACGAGACCCTTTTATGGTTATTCGAGGTACGTACTCATCAATTAGCCTACGAATGATTGCGTAGAATACCTTGAGATTATTGTCTAGGGAAGAATTTAAGTCCAATACGCTTTGCCAGTCTACATTGTCAAGGGCCCTGCCAATAGCTTCATAGTCAGCTTTAAAGTAATTAAACTTACACTTAGGCGTACTTTTGGGAGTTGTGACAGTACTAGTAAAAGAAATCTCGCAGAGAAGTGGTTTGTGATGTCTGTCTATGTTGGAAAGTATGTCGTCTGGAAGTAACAAGTTAATATTATCTATTTTGGATAGTACAAGATCTAGAATACGGTTATTAATGTTAAGTAGGTAGTTATGTTGCTTAAGATTATTAAATAAGATAAATTCCCATAACAATTGTTCTAATTTAGAGGCACAGTTTTGGGGTACTGTAATAATCGTAGCGTCACTACTGAGCCAATTAATTGTCTTAATGTTAAAATCTCCCAAAATTACACACTTCTCAACACATTCTAATACTCTGCTAGAATTATCGAGGAAATGTTCCAACACAGTAAGTTGAATGGGTGAGGGCAGATATACCGCACAAATGTAAATTTCATCAGTACGACCGTCTAATGGTACATATACTTTGATCCACAAATCCTCGCAGTCACTCTCGCAGTTAGTTAGCCTTTTAGATCTATATTTCGTAGACACTGCCACTAGAACACCACCACCGCCCTGTTTAACATTAAGACAATTAATAGTGCGATCACGTCTATATAGTACATATCGGCCATCCGTTACCTCAGAATCAAAAATACTACTCACAAACCAGGTCTCCGTAATTACTATGACATCGTAATCGCTGCACGCAATTCTACAATAGAAATCTGTTAATTTAGTTCTCATGCCACCAACATTTTGGTAATATACTTTTAAACCATTGAATTTTAACACTAATAATGCCAAGAAGATACATTACAATTTATAATAAAATTTAGATCTAATCATTCTAATTTCTTAAGTGTGTAATTTCTAATGTGTATATATTGAGAGTCATCCGACTTTCTCATAAATATCCTTCCATGTCGGATCCAAACATACTTGTAGCTCAGCTCTTTGCCTCTCTTTCTGGCTGCGGCATGGATTGCTTTGTTCCCAGGGGATAGATGTTCGGTGATGTAGATGCTTTCTTTTTTACCCGCAATACCGATAAGACTGCTATTGAGCTTTTTGCTATTGTCGTTGCTCTTGCTCTTGTTAAATTTAATGGATGCGGCGAGGAAACCGTCGCGAATCTTTGGGCTGCTAAATTGTACAATAATCGACTTCGGACGAGTACTAGTTGGGTTCTGTTTAGCAATCCGTGTAGTGTTGTGAATATTACTCTCAGTCAGTTCAAAGGATATAACTTTGCTAATATTCATGACCGTAGACACGAGATTCTCGCTTTTGAACTCAGGTACGCACTGAATTTCCACATTACACGAACGTGAATGTTGCTCCATTAGGTTCACTTTGGTAGTTAGATCCTTTACCGCGTTCTTAAGCTCTTCATTTTCCTTCTCAATGTCATGTATCTGGCTATTTCTCTCAGCTAATCCAGCTCTCATCTCCTCATATTGATTGTTAATAAATGTCATTGATTCCTTTACTTGAACTATTTCGTCCTTGATAGTTTTGAGTTCTTTATTAACGTAGTTAGCCAGAGGTTCATTGAGATGTTTCATAAGCTCTTTGACTTCGCGTTGCACATTATTCGTTACTATTCTCGATGTAACAGGAGCATCAATCTGTGAATAGTCTGGGTCATCGGTGGTAGTTGTCTTTTTACGCCGCGTTATATTATCCTGGTGACCGCTGGGCGTTTGAGTTGCAGGATCATTGGGCATTATGAGGAAAGTAATAAATAGTAAATATATAGAAATAAAAACCCCTGTGCGCTGTAATAAATGCCAGCTGCACTGCTATGCGTCGATGTTAATGTAATAAGCCGGCGTCCGTGGTGCAAGTTAGAAATCCACGAGAAAGCAGGCTTAAGCTCCGCTGAGATATCGTCGCTAACGCGTTCGGCACAAACAGTCTATTCACTCGGTAATGTCGATAGTTTTCAAAGAAATTTCAGTCAAATATGATGTTTTAGTCGAATATATGTAGATCAAATAAGGATTTAAAGTTATCACCAATAGTTAGTTATTTACCTTAACTACAAAATGAGCGTAATCTTAGAACGTAAAAGTCAAGAAGTTTTCTTCTCGTTCGGCGGCTTCCTGCACTTTGCACACTTTTCTTAAAGTTTCAGAGGTAGAATTCTTGCGATGTTATTTTTTTAGTAGATTTATTTATTCATCACTGGCAACACCAAGTCCTGACAATTTGACGTAACTCTATCAATGATAACGAAATAACTATGTTTTTGAGGGTAGGCCGAAATTTTATTATTTCGCAATTGTCAAACACATTATTTCATTAGAGATTTTTAGACGAAATCCAGTTTTTTACACCAAGATAACACTAACATATTATTCAGTATAGTTAATGAACACTTTACATATGTTTTTATTAGCGCTATTAAGCTTTTACAGCAGAAATTCAATTTAGATGAAGAACACAAACACTTTCGCGACTTGACACTTGATCTTTGTATCTTTCATTATTATATTTATGGTCAAAAAATTACTATCATTAATGATCATAAACCATTAGAATCTTTGTTAAAAAAGCATTTGCATGATATACCTTCGCCTAGATTGCAAAGATTAAAACTTAAATTATTAAAATATAATATTGAGTTCAAATACTTACAAGGAAAATTTATGTATATAGCAGATCTTCTATCGCGTTCATACCAGGAATCTGATGATGTTGATGAACCTTACATGTATGAAGTTATACATTGTGTAGTCACACACTTAAGTCAGAATTTAGAATGTGTGGAAGAGCAAAAGCTTAAACTTATTAGTGAAAGTTCTAATGATAGTGAGCTAGCTGAATTAATTGAATATATTAAGAATGGTTGGCCTAATAACATTCCAGATCATTTACATAGTTATCACAAGTTAAAGGATGACTTGTCATTTGATGACAAATTAGTATTCTTTAAAGAAAGATTGATTGTACCTAAAAGTTTAAGAATGTCTACATTAAAGATTTTACATGAAGGACACATAGGTATTTTTTACTAATCCCACCCACACGCCCTCCACTGTAACTCCTGTACACCAGGATCCACAGCAGTGACCCACGAACACACCGAGTTATGACACTCGGGAAGTCCCAGGAAGAAATTAAACTGTCTTGGAACCCGCAACGAAATTAATCAGAAGAAAATTGGAGGAGTTGGAAATACAGTAAATCCACTTCCCTCCTTAGCAAAGCGGGAGACAAAATGAAGTAAAAAGGGCATACACCCTTTTAAACAGGGAAGCACCACGGCCACAAATATTACGGGTCCTACGTGAGCTATGTTTGATTTCTATAATATGTATGGCAGAATCGCCTAAACGCACGGAAATTCACCCTAGTTGACACAAGATCCCCATAGTATACCGCCCCAGATGTCACCTGCAAGCTATTCAGCATTATATTACGTTCATTATACCAAAGACTACATTCCCAGAGGATATGATGAGCAGACTGTTCATAGTGAGAGTTAAGTGTTGAGCATTGACACAATGGTGACTCGACTAATTTAAATGAATAAAGCTTGCTCTTAAAGTTACCATGACCCGTAAGAAATTGAGCGACACAGTGATCTACCTCAAGCCATATCCTCGACAACCGTTCGCGAACAGATGGAAAGAATTGGTAAAGATGGCGCCCCTTGGATGATTCATCCCAGCGTTGTTGCCATTCGTCTATGAGGTCATTATAGACATCGGGCTGCTGTTGAAGCAATCTTGTAATTTTACCGCGATCCCGCGCGCCCAAAAAATCGCATTCCATGTTTTGTTGTCTTGAATAGTACATGGCTGCACGTCTCTGCACCTCGAGATCGACCGGAAGGACACCCGCCAACACCGGCAAAGCCTCAGTGCTAACCGTCCTATATGCCTTACACAAGAATATCAGTGCAAGTCGTTGGCCTTGTAACAGTTTGCGACGGACAGCGCCTACGGTCGCCCTATCGGCCCATACAGGTGCACCATAGCACATAGAACCTAAATAAGTAGCTCCGTATATGATCTTTAATGTATTAAATGATAGACCCCATGTCGCAGTTGATATCCTTGTCAATGCACAGAAACTCTTTTTAGACTTTTCATTAACTATTTTAATATGTTCGATAAATGAAAAGTTTCTTTCTAAAACTAATCCTAGATAACACACTGTAGTTTTATTTTTTACAGTAACATTGTCAAATCTAATGCTCGGCGGTGATTTAAGGTTACCTTTTAAAAGTAGCTGGAAGGTTTTGTTGGGTGCAAAAGTTAAGCGATTACGTTCACCCCATTGAGATATCAAGTTCAAACATCTATTGGCTAATCTCTCAAGCCCCGCCCTAGTATCAGATTCCACCAGTAATAAGCCGTCATCAGCATACGCGTTCAGAGTACATCCGGATGGTATTGGTATCGCAAGAAAATCGTCGAAGCCGATATTCCACAAGTATGGACCTAGCACCGATCCCTGAGGACATCCCATTGTAAGCGCCTTCGACACAGAATGATGACCAAGTCTTAGTTTAGTTGTACCTTGTGAAAAGTACGAAGAGATAAGGGAATAAATATTTTTAAAGCACCCCCGTGATTTTAATTTCAGCAACAGCATGGGCCACCATGCGTTGTCGAAGGCGCCAGATATATCTAAGAAAATAGCCAGCACGTATTGAAATTTTGACTCTGTGACAAACTTTCTAACCGATATAACAGCGTCAGTTGTCGATTTACCCAACGTAAATCCAAATTGTCTATCATGAAATTTGACTCCACCTGGCAGAAGCCGGGGCACTACAAGACGTTCTAAAAGCTTTCCTAACGATGGTAATAATGTGATTGGTCGGTAGGATTTAGGATCATCCGATGGCTTGTCGCCACTTTTTGGTATTATACGAAGGCACCGCCATATACGAGGAAATATTCCTTCAGCAATGCAACGTTTAAAGACAGTGAAAATCGTGTCACCCGAAAGTTTACAAGCTTCTTTTATCATTTTGTTAGATATTTTATCATCGCCCGAAGCCTTGTTTAGCGGCAAGGATCTAATGATACCGAGAAATTCGTCTGAAGATGGTAAATCAGACATTGGAGACAGTGGTGGTTCGATGGCCCACTGCCTGATCTGTCGGTGATGATCAGTGTCGTTTTCCGGTCGATCGTCAGGTACGAGTGAGTCTAAAAGATATTCTGCTGTTTGTTCTACTCCTGTGGTATATCTGTTATTAATTTTGATGTTCTGTATGTATGCAAGGTCGATTGATCTATTTGCCTTAAATTCGTGATACAAAGGTGACCACGGGCCCTCTCTATCGAGTTTATCAACAAGTTTCTGAATTAAGTTTCCCTTGGATTTTTCCACAGCAGCTCTGTAGTGGGACCTGGCAACTCTAAGAGCAATGAGAGCATTGTTGTACAAATCTCCTGTTACGTTATGTTTTTTAATAGTGTTTAATTTTCTACGAGCTTTCCGGTAGCTTCTACGTAGTTCGGCTAATCTATCATTCCACCAATCACATCTACGAGTGTTAGTGATAGATCCGCGACCAATAGTTACATCAGCGCAGTATGTAAAAGTTTCTGATAATATTTCTGCGCTTTCCTCAGCTGATAAACTACTGCGACTGAAGTCTTTGGTATGAGTTGCAAAGAGTGAACCAAACAAAGCCCAGTTCGCACCTTTAGTTTTATATCTAAAATTATAGGGAGCCCTTTGTGGATCCTGTGCCACCCTTGGTATGAATTCGTACACGATCAAGCGGTGATCACTACAGGATGCGTCCGGAAGGACACGCCATCCGGATATCGAGACGTCGCCGCGTGTAAGCGTCACGTCAATAGAAGACTCACCCATTGGGTTGCAAAAAGTTGGTGGTGCATCGGGGGTATTGTGAATAATAAGATTCATTTCCGCAATGAAATCTTCAACCGCACAACGTCGAACCGTGTCGGTTGAACGCAACTTGCCATACCATAATGAAGATGACGCATTGACATCAGCGCCAATGATAATTTTATGTCCCACGAGGAACTGCAAGACGTAACGTAAGTGATGTAAGTGAGGATCAATAGGATGTGAATATTGAAAATAGCAGCTCACTACGTAAACCTTACAGGTAGAGGATGAGATCTCAGCAACGGCGCAGTGTGACGTCATAAGATTACGCAAAGATGTTACCGTAAAATTAGAACTTGCAACATATATCCCAGCCTGCGAACGGCAGTCAAGCTGTACTACATTACGACGCAAGTGAGCGCTCTGATATTGTTCTTGTAAAAGGACAATGTCTAACTTTTGTTCTAAAATTAAACGGTCTAACTCTGATGTAGCTATTTTATCGTTATGAAGATTTATCTGGCCTATCAAAATATTATTCATTACTTAGTAAGTTACTCTTTTAACTTTTTTTTTTTTTTTTTTTTTAAACTAAGTTAAACTATTCAGTAATTGGTATTTAATATCAGCTGTTCCAGTTTTAATTTGTATGTGGCACAGTCGTATGAGCCGCATCGATGGTCAGATGGTTTCTTGAACCGCTTACACTGTGCGCACGTGGGCTTAAAATCTGGTGTGTCTCTATTTGGACAGGCTCGCGTTTCGTGTGCGGCGGCGCAATTAGCACAAGTAGGGGTTTTTATGGTGCAAAACTTTTGTACATGACCGAATTGCTGACAATTTAAGCAACGAACTACTTCTATATCGTCTATGAATCTACATGTGGCCCAGTCTATATAAA